CAGAGAGAGACGGAGGGAAAGACAGAACTGGAGCAGCAGAGGGACGAGTCAGAGCTAGGGAAAGGGTGCACCTAGTGAGGCAGGCACAGCACCTGAGCAAACAGGGAAGCCTGCTCCCGAGAGTGGCCAAAGGGGTCAATGTGCCAGGCCACACGGGGGCGCCCGTTATCCCCAAATGTCTTCTGCAGGAAGTGAAGCCCCAGGGTCATCTGGTCCACAATGGCACCATAGTGGGTGGCCGCCTCGTCGTTCATCACCCAGCCACCATTGGCAAACTCCAGGCGCCCTGTGCAGGAAGGGTCACAGACAGGGTTAAGGGCTGGGAACATATATGGTCAAAGGCAGTGTGGTCAGTGTCTCGAGCTGGGTGTGGGCTCAGGTTATCGAGCTGTGTGTGGAGTCAGTGTCTAGGGCTGTGTGTGGGTTCAGAGTCAAGGCCTAGGTGTGGGCAGGGAATGGGTCAGGGTCAAGAGCTGGGGATGAGAGGACTACACAGCCCTACAAAGAGAAAAATGCTCATTCCCAGGCCCCTCTGTCCAGATATGGGGAGCAGAGCTTCCCCAAGGAGCCCCTGGATGTGGACTTTGCACAACACACAGATGTTCCCCAGACCTGCCAGTGTACACTGGAATATGTGCTGTGTGCACAGCCTGCACAACAGCGTGAGGAATCTCACAGACCAGGGCTACAGGAGGCCAAGCAGAGCTGCCCGTTCTCTCCACGTCCTGGGGACAGGCTCACCCTGGCGCACCAGCTCCTGCACAGCTTGCTGCGTTGTGTTCGTCTGCTGGTGCCACCAGCGGGAGAAGAAGGCCATCTCCACGTAGACAAACCTGCGGCTGGGCTCTGCCTGCAGGGCAGCGAACACCGAGTCCAGGATATTCTTCACACCTGAGCGCAGCCGTTCATTCTGCGCTGTAGACACAGGGGTCAGGGGTCAGGCACTGAGGGAGTGCTAGGCGGGGGGGTGGGGGTACTTCCAGACAGGAGCCCATGCAGGCACTGCCCCACCCTGCTGTTCAGGGCACATGTGGAAGGCCGTCCCCACCCTCGACTTACCCCCCTTATAGTACTGGTCCACTGTATAGATCCAACCCACATCATCATGTGTGTGGGCCACCAGGTGGACGTTCAGCATGTCTGGCTGCACTCTGGGACAAGTCTGCACAGGGACCCCAAACACACACACACACACCCTGTGAAAAACCCCAGAGCTAAGGGGTGGAGTAGAGGGGAGCCACAGCTCAGGACACACCCTGACTGACATGAGGGTGTGGTGGGGAGCCACCATCTGGCCTTGATCACCAGCAGAGGAGGCCGGGCCCTTCCAAGCAGGACACAGAGCTGTGCCCACCCACACTGCCCCAGGGACAGCTCTCACTCAGCTCTGGGCATGTCATCCCAGCAGGAGCTGAGGTGTGCTCAGCCTTGCAGACAGCTGAGCTGCCAGCTAAGGCCACAGCAGTCCTAGTTTTTACATCTGGGACACAGAGTAGAGGTGAAAACCCCAGGGGGCCAGCGGAAGTGGGGGCGCCAAGCTGCAGCCCAGAGAGGCTGTGCACCGCCGAGCTCACTCAGCGCCCCTTACACAGCTCTCTCTGGGATTACAAAGTTGAGGCCACTGACCCCAGCCACAGGGCGACTGTCCCTGCCTTGGGTCAGCCACAGTTCCCGGGCGCCCGCGGGGGGCTCCGCAGCCCCTCCAGCCGCCCCCTCCTCAGGGCTTCACCTCAGCTGGCCTCCTTCCCGCCCGCGGACTCCCTCACCTTGTAGTCCGCGGCGCGAGTACGGCCGGCCGCCAGCCACAGCAGGAAGAGCCAGGCCGGGGGGCGCAGCGACCCCCGCCCGGCGCGCCCAGCGGCCCCGCAGGCTCCGGCTCGGCCTCGGCGGGCAGCAGTGCCGGTGCTCATGGCTCCCCTCAGCCCGCCCGCCTGCTTCTCCGTCTGCTCCTCCGCCCGCCAGCGCTCTGCCCAGCTCCAGCCGACCAATCAGCGACGGTCCCGGGCTGATGCTCGGCCTGGCGCCGCCTTCAGACCCTGAGGTGGCAGAGCTGAAGCCTGGGATGCCTGTGAACCCCCGTGAGCAGGGACAAGTCCTGCCTTGGGCGTTCCTCCAGGGGCTGAGGACAACTGCCCCTTTGAGAGTAGAGGCCTCAGCTTTCCAGCGGTGGAGGGTGTTCCTGGGAGGGGAGGGTCCCTGTGCATCCTAGGATAGAACTGGCCCAGTAGCAAATGAGATGAGCATGGGGTCCCTCACTTCGGGCTCTGGATGCTGGGGGAAACCAAGTGCCCCTTGCCGCTGCTGTTTCTCAGTCCAGCGACTGCTCACTTTTCCAGTAAGAAAACCAAAGCCAGGATCCCTCATGACGGCATGATCTCCGAGGTCACAGAGACCACCCACACCTCTGTGTGTCGCCTTGCCCAGCTCAGGCTACCCCTACCACTGGTTGGGGCAGAGGGTCTGTTATTTAAAATAGACTTTTAGTTTACATTATTACACGCAGCTAATTCCCCCAACCTGATTCTTTACCATGAGCCGGAAACACCAAACACGACGAGCTATCTTAGGAGGTTTATTCCAGCGGTGCAGGAACAGATGGAAGTGGTGGGAGTTCAGTGGGAAAAAGCTGGGGCCCCTTATGTTCAGGTAAGCCCTGCTTCATTTACAGAGGTAATGCCACCACCTGGACACTGGCATCCCATACAGGTAAAGGACCAGATTCTTACTCATGACACCAAAACCAAAAGCTGCTACAAGTATAACTTGGGGGGCATGGGCACATGGTGGCCTAGCAGCTAAGGTCCTCACCTTGCATGCGCCAGGATCCCATACGGGCAGTTCGTGTCCTGGCAGCCCTGCTCCCCATCCAGCTCCCTACTTGTGGCCTGGGAAAGTAGTCAAGGATGGCCCAAAGCTTTGGGACCCTGAACACATGCGGGAGACCCAGAAGAAGCTTCTGGCGCAGCTATGGCCATTGTGGCCGCTTGGGGAGTGAATCAGTGGACAGAAGATCTTCCTCTCTGTTTCTCTTTCTCTCTGCATATGACTTTCCAATAAGAATAAATAAATCTTTAAATAAATATACAAATTTGGACTTAATTTTCATGCTTTGAAAGACACTACAGTGTGTTCATGGGAACGTGAAATGCTGCAGCCATACAGAAAACAGTATGCATATTCCTCAAAAAAAGAAGAAATAAAACAGGGTTCATGAAAGATTCACCAATTCCAGTTTTGGTTATAACCAAAAGCAGCTTTAAAACCTACATATTTTCATTTTGTATCAAACATACAAAGAGATGGGTGGAGAGAGATCTTCTATCCACCTCAAATGTCTACAGAAGCTGGGCCAGCTGATGTCAGAAAGGAACCCAAAGGAGGCAATTAGGTTAAAAACTGCCTCTCAGGGTGAGCGAAAACAGCAAGCTGGACTTGGAAATGGAGCTGGACGACATCCCCGGGCCAGGGGACCAGAGCCGTGGCAAAGCGCCCAAATGACGGACCCTGGACCCTCAGACTTTGCCTAGTCCGGAAGCCCAAGCGGACACTTAGCATGCGAAGCAGCCGACGGGCGATCTTCTGTAAAGTCCACCTCAATTATTAAAAAAAAATCTATGGAGTCAGATTCTTTGTTCAGAGTCTGAATCTGAATAAAGATCACAAGTTAGGGTTAGTGGTGCCTGTTTCTGCCAAGTCACGGAGAAAAATCCACCCCCCTGGTTCCTGGGAGCCCCTCTCGCCCCAGGACAAAAGGCCTTGCTCCTTTTGGAAACTGAGTCTGCAACTTCCGACTCACAACTGGACACCCCGCCCCCCACCCCAGTGCATCCCCACACCCAGGTCCGGCCCGAGCACTATTGGGCCGGATTTTGAAATCTCCAGATAATCATCAAGTCTGAAGTCATTGCTAAGGCATAAAGGTGATTTACTCAGGTTAACCTAGGTCTCCCAGTCACCTCCCCCGGCCCAACATGGCTGGACGGGGAAGAGGCAGCCGCAGCAAGGCCGCTGCAGGACCTGCAGGGAGGACACAAAGAAGAGCCAGAGAGAGCCGAAGCCCCCCAGGTCTTACACATTTCAGGCTATTAATTATACAGTCATGATTTAGTGGGCTTCTATTGGTGGATTTGAAACAAGCAACTTTCAAAAAGTACAAATTGATGAGCTATTGGGCAGTGAATCTTATCAAACACCAGGGACCTCCTTCCTGAGGAGTGGTCTGCCTACGTGACCTGCCGGGTGTCCTGCCCGGTGTCACTAGACTATCAGGCCTGGAGTTCACACAGCCCCCGGCCAAGCCATTAAGGCAGAATCACAAAAGGCAGAAAACATCTAGGTTCTTCAGCAAACACGTCCCCCCCCCCCCCCCCCCCCCCCCCCGCGCCCAGCAGGTCCAGCCTTGTCCATCCCCCGCGCCCAGCAGGCCCGTCCATCCCCCGCGCCCAGCAGGCCCGTCCATCCCCCGCGCCCAGCAGGTCCAGCCTTGTCCATCCCCCGCGCCCATGTCCGGCCCGTCCATCCCCCGCGCCCAGCAGGTCCGTCCATCCCCCGCGCCCATGTCCGGCCCGTCCATCCCCCGAGCCCAGCAGGCCCGTCCATCCCCCGCGCCCAGCAGGCCCGTCCATCCCCCGCGCCCAGCAGGTCCGGCCCGTCCATCACCCCCATCCCATGTCCGCCCGTCCATCCCCGCGCCTGAGGGGACACTCACTCCGCCCGCAGCCAAGCTGGGCTCTGTGACGCGTCTTCGCCCGGCTGTCACTCAGGCAACGGAGGCGGGCCGGCGCCAAGCGTCCAATCAGGCGCGCCGCTGGGTGGGCGGGGCGACGCGGCGCTGGCGGCGAGGACGCGGCGAGCTGAGGGGCGGGCGCCGGCTCCGATCCTTGGCGGCCCGGGCTCCGGCCTGTCGTCCGACGGCTCCGATCCTTGGCGGCCCGGGCTCCGGCCTGTCGTCCGACGGCTCCGATCCTTGGCGGCCCGGGCTCCGGCCTGTCGTCCGACGGCTCCGGGCCCGCACAGGCCGCGGCCCCCGCGCCGAAGCCGCCGGCCGCCACGGAAGCCGGGAGATGGTGAGTCCGCGCGGCTGGCTGGGACCGCGGTGGGCCTGCTCAGGACAGTTCCGGAGTCTGAGGCGCCGGTCGGGGCGGCCCCCGCGGGGCTGCGGGGTGGGACTCCGGATGTCCTGGCCGTCCCTGCGCGGGGCGACCTCGGCCTCAGCGCCGCGTCCGCCTTCCTCGTGTGTGATGACCACGGAGGGTCACAGGCGGGGGCGGTGACCCAGGCTGGAGCTGCGGAGTTCCTCCCCGGGGGAGACGCTGCGATTGCTGGGGGCGTTCCTCCCAGTGAGGGGCTCAGATCCACGATCCATCCTCCTCTTTGTAAGAATGGCAATGAAATCCCCAAGTCCTACTTGCCAAAGGCCAAATGTCCATCTCTCTAGCACAGCGTCTTTTTTTTTTTTCTTTTCCTTCAAGATTCATTTATTTCTTTGAAAGGGCGAGTTACAGTAAGAAAGAATCTTACATCCATGGGTTCACTCCCAGAATGGCAGTAACGGGAGCCAGAAGCTTCTTCCAAGTCTTGCATATAAGGACAAAGTCCCAAGCACTTGGACCATGCTCTGCTGCTTTCCCAGGCCACAGGCGGGGAGCTGGGTGGGAACTGGAATAGCCGCGACTCACACCTGCTTTTTTATATGTGATGCTGGTGCTGGTGCGGACACTTCGCCAGCTAGGCCGTAGCAATAACCAGTCGCAGTATCAATCAGCATTTTGTCCTGGCTACAAACAAAAATTTTTAATTGGGCATGGTGTGATGGCTCAATGACTAAATCCTCACTTTGCAAGCATCAGGATTCCATATGGACACCGATTTCTTTCCTGTCAGCCCCACTTCCCACCCAGCTCCCTGCTTGTGGCCTGGGAAAGCAGTCGAGGACGGCCCACAGCCTGGGGACCCTGCACCCACGTGGGAGACCCAGGAGAGGCTCCTGGCTCCTATCTTTAGATAAGCTCAGCTTTGGCCATTGTGACCAATAAACTGGTGCCCAAACGGAATCCCAGTGCATGCAAGGCAAGAACGTTAGCCACTAGGCTACTGACCCAGCCCCAGATACATTCCTTTTTTTTTTTTTTTTTTAAAGAATTGAGTATTGATTTCTCAGTGCTGTCAGTTTTTTGCATGCTGATTTACACACCTGTGAAATGTTTTAGGACTCGGTAGCCTTTGAGGATGTGGCTGTGAACTTTACCCAGGAGGAATGGGTTTTGCTGGATCCTTCTCAGAAGAGACTGTACAGAGATGTGATGCAGGAGACCTTCTCTAACCTGGTCTCTGTAGGTAAGAATGGAGTTACTGCCTCAATGAGAGAACAAGTGTTCCAAGATTTGAAATATGGAAAAATAATACTTTGATAAATAAATAAGACATGATAATGTTCATCATGGACCTAATGAAAAAATCTAGTAATTTTTCCGATAATTTATAAACACTTTTCTGGATCTGCATTTTAGGGAACAAATGGGAGAACTTAAATGTTGAAGATCAGTACCAAAGCCTGGGGAGTGTTCCAAGGTGAGCTGGATTTGTAAATTTGCCAATAATGTTTTCAATGAAATAGATAATATACAAATAATTCTTATTATACCAAAAGAAACAATAGTAAGATGCCCCATGTTATTCCTGTCAGTGCTTTGTTTTGTTTTTTGTTTTTTTCTTAAGACTTATTTATTAGAAAGTCAGATATACAGAGAGGAGAGAGAGAGAGAGGAGGGAGATCTTCCGTCTGATGAAGCACTCCCCAAGTAACTGCAACGGCAGGTGCTGCGCCAATCCAGTGCCAGGAACCAGGAACCTCTTCCAGGTCTCCCACATGGGTGCAGAGTCCCAAAGCTTTGGGCCATCCTTGATTGCTTTCCCAGGCCACAAGCAGGGAGCTGGATGGGAAGTGGGGCTGCTGGGATTAGAACCGGCACCCCTATGGGATCCTGGCGAGTTCAAGGCGAGGACTTTAGCCACTAGGCCATGCCGCCGGGCCCTCCTGTCAGTGTTTTTACAATAGCTATGATCAAATACTCTTCCAGAGTATTCTTTACGTCTGCTGTCCCTGAAAATAGTAAAAATAGTTTCTTCTACTGATTGTGAGATTGACAATAATCATTAGTAATTATACAACAATTACTTAAAAGCCATTCCCATTAATAATAGGTTTCTCATTTGTTACAGAAGTCATATGGCAGAGAGACTCTGTGAAGAGAAAGGAAGTAGTCAATTTGGAGACACTTTTAGTCAAACTCCAAATCTGAAATTGAACAAGAAAACTCTTAGTGGAGCAAAACCATATGAATGCAATGTGTGTGGAAAAGTCTATATGTGTCATTCATCTCTTAATAGACACATGAAATCTCATACTGAACACAAACCATATGGGTATAACAAATATGGAGAAAAGTCATATGAATGTAAAGAATGTGGCAAAACCTTTAACTTTCGAAGTTCATTTCGAATACATGAAAGGACTCACACTGGAGAGAAACCATATAAATGTAAGCAGTGCGGGAAAGCTTTCAGTTGGCCCAGTTCCTTTCAGATTCACGAAAGAACTCACACTGGAGAGAAACCTTACGAATGTAAGGAATGTGGAAAAGCCTTCATTTATCACACCACCTTTCGGGGACACATGAGAATGCATACAGGAGAGAAACCATATAAGTGTAAAGAATGTGGGAAAACCTTCAGTCACCCCAGTTCATTTCGAAACCATGAAAGAACCCACAGTGGAGAGAAACCCTATGAGTGTAAACAATGTGGAAAAGCCTTCAGATATTATCAAACTTTCCAAATACATGAAAGGACTCACACTGGAGAGAAACCCTATCAGTGTCAACAGTGCGGGAAAGCTCTCAGTTGTCCCACGTCCTTCCGAAGTCATGAAAGGATTCACACCGGAGAGAAACCCTACAAATGTAGAAAATGTGGTAAGGCCTTCAGTTTTCCTAGTTCATTTCGAAAACATGAAAGAATTCATACTGGAGAGAAGCCCTATGACTGTAAGGAATGCGGGAAGGCCTTCATTTCTCTCCCAAGCTTTCGAAGACACATGATCATGCACACTGGAAATGGGCCTTACAAATGCAAGCAGTGCGGGAAAGCCTTTGATTGTCCCAGCTCGTTCCAAATACACGAAAGGACTCACACCGGGGAGAAACCCTATGAATGTAAGCAGTGTGGCAAGGCCTTCAGCTGTTCCAGTTCCTTTCGAATGCACGAAAGGACTCACACAGGAGAGAAACCTCACGAATGTAAGCAGTGTGGCAAGGCCTTCAGCTGCTCCAGTTCTGTACGAATACACGAAAGGACTCACACTGGGGAGAAACCCTATCAGTGTAAGCAGTGTGGGAAAGCCTTCAGCTGTTCCAGTTCCTTTCGAATGCACGAGAGAATTCACACTGGGGAGAAACCTTATGAGTGTAAGCAGTGTGGCAAGGCCTTCAGTTTTTCCAGTTCCTTTCGAATGCACGAAAGGACTCACACCGGGGAGAAACCCTATGAGTGTAAGCAGTGTGGCAAGGCCTTCAGCTGCTCCAGTTCCTTTCGAATGCACGGAAGGACCCACACGGGAGAGAAACCTTACGAGTGTAAGCAGTGTGGCAAGGCCTTCAGCTGCTCCAGTTCCATTCGAATACATGAAAGGACCCACACAGGAGAGAAGCCCTATGAATGTAAGCAGTGTGGCAAGGCCTTCACTTGTTCTAGCTCTGTCCGAATGCACGAAAGAACTCACTCTGGACAGAAGCCCTATGAATGCAAACAGTGCCATAAAGCCTTCAGTTGTGCCCGTTCCTTCCGCATCCACGAAAGGACTCACACTGGGGAGAAACCGTATGAATGTCAGCTATGTGGTAAGGCTTTCAAGTGTCCCCGATCCTTTAGAGTCCATGAAAGAACTCACGTTGGAGACATTCTATAAATGTAAGCGATGTGGTAACCTCCAGTTCTCCCAGTGTACTCGGAAGCCGTACTCACACTGGAGAGCAACTTTTTGAATATAAGCGATGTGCTCAAGTCTTCCATTGGCTCACATCCTGACCAAACTTTTGTTTTACTGGGTAGGAACAAAAGTGAGAAAATACAGAAGTTTTTAATTTTAACAATTTTCGTGGTACTTCTTTTCCTGTGAACTTCAAACTCAGGGGGTAACTTCTGCTAGAGAGAGGTACTGTGGGAAAGCCTGGTACAAAGTGATTCATGTACATTCCATAAAAGGCATAATATAACAAAAAGTTGTAAATGCATTATTCCTATAAGTTCATCATTTCTTAAGAAATGTAATTAGAATATGGATTTCTATCTACATTTGCAAACTTACAGTGCCATGAGAAGATTCTAGAACCCTCGTTAACCAGTAGTACACAGTTTAATAGGCAGTTTGATTTTTGGTTACATCGTTTACTACAGTTTTCTTTCCATCCTGAAGTTTGTTGGATTTATGGGTGGACTGAAGTGTATTTCTAATATGCAAGTAGATTGAATTTTTATGTAGTTTTTAAATTGTCCTGCAGGGAACCACTGTAAAATAGCACTGGTCATTAGTGGGATTTCCTTTGTCACCTTGTGTGATACGTGCTCCATGTCCTTCACTCATCATGTGTGTTCCAGTTTTCTTTGTACCTGAAACAGTCTTACTTTGTGGAGGGCATAGGGTTTGTATTCTGTTTTCAGTGCTACAATATAGTTGATACATTTGTGATTATGCAAAATTGATTATATTCTCCAGTTTGACTTCCTTTGATCTTTTGCTCTTTGCTGTTTATCATTCTTTCTGGCTAGAATTTGGATAATAGTTACAGAGTTGTTACACAACGATATAAACCACATTGGGAAATGTCTTTCTTGTATTGTGTCAACATGGATGAATGTTGTGACCTGTGTTTTTCTACAGTATGTCTCTGTGGTTCCATGTTAGAATTCACTGATGGCTGCTTGCAGAGGAGTATACAAGGTAGAAGTGAAGACAAGATGTTAGACTCTGCAGCCACCATACATAAAAACAGGGAAGTACATAGGGTCTTCCGGGACATCTATTTCCACTTCATCTTCCCAATTCTGCTTGAGCAGTGAAGAGTACAGTCATGTACCACTTAATAGTTCAGTCAGCAACAGACTACAGTGACAGTGGTGAGCTGAGAAATGGCCATTGCTTTGTGTTGCCATGGTGTAATGCATTCTTTGTGTGCTTGTGGTGGTGTTGGTGTCAAGAAACCTGTACTGGTAGTATTATAAAAATATACCACATACAAGATATGTATAGTATGGAATATGTGACAATAATAAAGAACTATGTTACTTATGTATTTCATATACTTACTGTGTAGGATGTTTTCTTATTTATCATGATGTTCACGCAGATTATTTCAGCAGGGATTTGTCATGGGTGATAATGGCTCTTTGCATAGTATTGACTCTCAAGACTTTCTAGTGAGACAAATGTGGCAGAAGACCATCATGTAGCTGATCTTGACCCTGTGTAACCCTAGGCTAATCTGTATTTAATTTTTAGCAAAAAAAAAAAAGTTTATAAAAGGTAAAAACACATATATACAAACCACTTTTCAAAGTAGATGACAGCTTATCAAATAAAGATATAGAAAGCAATATTTTTGTGTGACTGTACAGTATATTTGTGTTTAAATTGCTTTAAATTAAGAGATTCAAATGTCTGTAGAGTAAGTTACAGTAATCTCATTGAAGAAAAACTTGTATAGATTTAGAATAAGCTACGTCTTTAATTTCATAAATCCACAGCAGTCAGCATAACATCCCAGGCTTCCCTGTTAACTAGCCTTTCACTGTGTTTCCTCAAGAAACTTTCAGTTCTGCAAGCTCCCTTCATGCCCAGTGACCTCTACAGATGTACCCTTTTTATCTTTGGTGGTTTTGTTCTTGTTTTTAGGATTTATTTATTTTTATTCAAAAGGCAGATTGACAGGAGAGAAAGAGATCACCCAATAACTGGCCCACTCCTTAAGTGGCCACAATGGCCAGTGCTGAGCCAATCGCAAGCAAAGAGCCAGGAGCTTCCTCTGGTTTTCCCGCAAGAATACAGGGTCCCAAGGCCTTGGCCCACGTTCCTCTACTGCTCTCCCAGGCCAAAATTTGGAAGCTGAATTGGAAGTGGAGCAGCCAGGGCACAAACTGACACCCATATGGGATCCCAGCAGATGCAAAGCAAGGATTTTAGCTACTAGGTTACTGTGCCAGGCCTTTTTCTTTTTAATCTTTTATACTGTATCTTTAATGTGCTTTATTGAGCTGCCAGTTTTCTACAGTATTCAGTAGTGTACCGTGTTATAGCTTAGGAGCAGTAGACTACCATACATAGTATGCTATACCATCTAAGTACATCAGAGAGATACACTATAATGTTCTCATAAGGGCAAGATTCATGTTTTCACAGATACTTAATGTCTAATTACAGGGAAGCCTCCATCACGGTTTGGATTTTCTGCCACCCATGCAGGTGCAGGGTCCCAAGGCTTTGGGCCGTCCTCCACTGCTTTCCCAGGCCACAGGCAGGGAGCTGGGTGGGAAGTAGGGTTGCTGGAATTAGAACCAGTGCCCATATGGCATCCTGGCATGTTCAAGGTGAGGACTTTAGCCACTAGTCCACTGAACAGGGCCAAGTTTGACATTTTGCATTTCCAATCTTATGTCTTAAGAAAATTTTCAATGTCTTTACTACTGATTAATGAAGACTTTTGTGGTATTAGTATAGTTAGAATGGCCAGCCTATTCATCATCTTTATTGATCTCTTTTTGATTATAAAACATCTTTTTGTAAAACATTTAAACATGGGTTTACATAGTTGTTGTAATGATTTGAAAATCCTGTCAGAAAGCATTAATCCTAGAACGATTTTGGTCATTCTTGCAGAGAATCAAGCATGGCTAGCATAAGAGCTTTCTGGAGGTAAAGGGGACATAGACTGGAAAGCAGAATAAGGAACTGCAAATACCAGGCATTTCTTCACAGAAATGGAATGGCCCTTATGCTTCCTGATTATGCAACTTTGAGCGTATTGTAAGATTGACAAAATGATTGGGTCCCTGAACTCAAATGTCATTTAAACACTGAGTAGCTTAGAAATACAAGAATAACCTTGCCCATTCCATTGTTTTCTTCCAATAATTCATAGCACATTTCCTTATATTGTTTTTTCTTAACTATTATCAGGTGGGTTTTTTGATAAGATCCAATTTCATTACTGAATTTATAGATGTGACTTTGCAGAACCTTTTTTTAGAATGATCTTTCTTCTTTTAAACTTGGGTTCTTAGCACAATGGTCATAGATTAGCTTCCTACAGCTGCCTTGGTTGGCTTATAGCATCTCTATCACTTTATATATATATATTTTTATGACAACATCTGCACAACTATAGCTTTGTAGCTTCTGCATCTTCTCCAGTGTCTGGGGCAGCTAGAGCTCAACTAGGAGCTTGCAGATCCCTAGAATGAGCCCAACTGTATGTTTTTGGAAATCTTTTGACCATGGTCCTGGTCATGATGTACCAGGTGGCTGCCATGTGCTGCCTCCTAAGCCACAAACATGAGAAGCCTTATCACACCATTGACCTGGAGGGTATTTTGAGGAGGATACTAGATCCAAAAGTGTGGTTTCCTGCCCTGCCACACAAAGCACTTAACACAAGCTGCTATCTGTGGTCTTGCCTTCTGTCCTCTCCCAGTGTCCCAGGATGGACCAGGAGATATGGTGGGGAAATCTGGGGCCACATGCTCCACTAACATGCTGGGCTTAAAAGTGGGTAAAAGTGATGGGGTTTCCTGTGCCTCCGGGTGTGGAATGGCCTTGACGCTGGCACAGTGAACGGTGCACATAGAGAAGCCACAGGTGTTCTTGTGCACACGCTCACAAACATGGCTACCCTGCAGAGAGATGCAGTTCCTGTGGGAATCGCAGGAAACAGCTGGGATATGGGAGTGAACAAAGCCACACTAACCCAGTGAGTTAGTTCATGCTGAAACTGCCCAAGTTATAAGAATGGCCTAGGCATTCAAGGGACTGAGCTCCTGGTAGCGATGGAGACGCTTACGATACTCATGCTTTCTGGGAATGTATCTTTCCTGTCATATGATGATGATTGCTTATTTACTGTAAATATTTAAAATCTACAAAATCATTAGGAAATTCTTATAAACTGATCTGTGTTCATGTGAAGTGTAGTGTTAGATTTGCTTCTCATAAACTGGTGTTTACTTTTTATTAACAGAATAGTTGATATAACATACACTCATTTTCAAACTTATTCATTTCTCATAAATACAATCATAAGAATATAATGACATTCTTTCCTGGTTCCCATGGTTCCCACTCTCCCTCTCTAATCTAGCACTTTTTTACTTGTTTCATACTTCTTTATATATTAAATTCAAGAAGTTATAATTCCACTAACAAGAGATTAACCAACAAAAAGTAAAAAGACCTTAGTTTAGCAAGAATATAAGCAAGAGCTATAAACATAATCCAAGGGAAGGATGGTCAGTCCACTTATACAGTGTCAAAATAATCGCAAATTATTAAAATTATGGTAGTATAACATCCTTAATCACTACTTATAATAAATATTATAAAGTTTGAGAAAATTGCATCTATAATATTCATAGAGACAGGCCATTCTTTATAGATTTATTATTATTATTGAGGATCCAGGTATAACAGATAAAAGCACCATCTGCAAAGCAAGCGTATTAAACAGTTGCTGATTAATGTCCTAGCTATTAAACTTCAAATTCTGTGCTCTGGCAAAGACATAGAAAAACAACCACAGATGAAGCAAGGCCCTGGCGTGACGTCCCACTGACTAAATCCTTGCCTTCCATGTGCTGGGATCAATGATGGGCACCAGTTCGTATCCCACATGCTAAACTGCTCATTAAGCTGTGACTTTCGAAAACCAGTAGTCGTCTCTTTTGATATAATTTCTTTCATCTTTTCAGCTCTTTGCATCAATTAAAGATTTTTGTCCAATGCACAGTGCATTACTTGGTTTTTAAAAAACAGTTTTCTGGGCCCGGCACGGTGGCGCAAGTGGTTAAAGGTCCTCGCCTTGCACGCCCGGGATCCCATATGGGCGCCGGTTCTAATCCCGGCAGCCCCGCTTCCCTTCCAGCTCCCTGCCTGTGGCCTGGGAAAGCAGTCGAGGATGGTCCAAGGCTTTGGGACCCTGCACCCGCGTGGGAGACCCGGAGGAGGCTCCTGGCTTCGGATCGGCATAGTATCGGCCCGTTGCGCTCACTTGGGGAGTGAATCATCGGACGGAAGATCTTCCTCTCTGTCTCTCCTCTCTGTATATCCGCCTTTCCAATAGAAAAATAATAAAAATAAATCTTTAAAAAAAAAAAAAAAACAGTTTTCTTTGAAAGGAAGAATTTTACTGAAAGAGGAGGAAAGACACAGAGACCAATCTTCCATTCACTCCCCAAATGGCAGCAATGTTTAGAACTACGCTGATCAAAAGCTGGGAGCCAGGAACATCTTCCTGGCCTCCAACATCAGTGCAGAAGCACAGAGCTGGATCGGGACTGGAGCACGCAGGACATGAAGTGATGTCCATATGACGTGCTGGCACACGCAGGCAGAGGATTAGTAAAGGCCCACATTACTTGGTCTTATTTTTACTTTGAAACTCCCAAATGTAAGATTTCCATTTTGGTTTAAAAGGCAGGGGTACACAGACATCTTTTATCCTCTGTCCAACATCTCAAATGCCTACAAAATTTAAACATACCCTGCTAGAAGCCAGAATTTAGGAGCTCCTTCAGGTCTCACTTATGAACGATAGCCATATAAACAATTTGCCCACCATCCCTCCCACCCCCAACTCTGGTACACTGTGGGAAAATGAGTCAAAAACCCTGAGTAATGACATTATAATATGGGAAGCAGGCAATCCAGCAGGAACCTAACTTACTGTGCCAGAATACTGCCCCAATCTTTGGCTTTAAACTTTTGTCATAAATCGAATTTACCTCACCGCAAAAAATAAAACAGAGATTGGGCCCGGCACAATAGCATAGTGGTTAAAGTCCTCGCCTTGCACGTGCAGTGATCCCATATGGGCGCTGGTTCTAATTCCAGCAACCCCACTTCCCATCCAGCTCCCTGCCTGTGGCCTGGGAAAGCAGTGGAGGACGGCCCAAAGCCTTGGGACTCTGCATCTGCATGGGAGACCTGGAAGAGCTCCTGGCTTCTGATTGGCTCAGCTCAGCTGATGCGGCCTCTTGGGGAGCGAACCATCAGACAGAAGATCTTCCTCTCTGTCTCTCCTCTTCTCTGGATATCTGCCTTTCCAATAAAAAATAAAATCTTAAAAAAGAACTTGTCAAACACAAGCCATATATCCAAAATCATTAAGAAATAACCATAGACATGACAAGTCTACAAACAGCAGCAAACATTAAGGAAATCCCTGAGGGAATGAAAAGGGACAGCTAGAAAGCTAGCTTATGCGTAAGTTGGTAGGTACTGTCACCTGGTTTCTGCCATCCCCACCCACAACTCCTCCTGTGGGCAGTGTCACGTGGCTATTCTGCCATCCAGGCACATACATGTTCTGGCCATGTGAATGGGCTCTCTCACAGACACACTACAGAGGGTGAAGACATATTTCTCTATCACCCCTTTCATTTCAGGCCTCACCAGCCCTGAACATGGCTCCCGTGTGTCTATGACCCCTCTTACCCTTTAAATAAATTTTCAAATGAAAAAAGTACAAAGACCACACATATTCCCTACTCACAACAAAGTAAGAGCAAATATAAACTGCACCTCAAAGGAAGAACACTTTAGCACTTTGATATTAAAAGATTTTCCATATTCATTACATTTTCATTGTGTTCTCAATCTGTAATCTTGCTAATTCTTTTCAGTCAATACACTGATTTTTTTTTCTGTGAATATAGTGATGTCTGTTGAATTCTTTTCACAAAAAATGTCGTACTCAAAATACCTTATGCAAGGCTTTCTGAATCTGGTTAATACCAAATCTGTGCTAATTAAGCAATGTGCCAACACAGTCACCTTTTATGTTTTTAAAATGTTTAATAATCTTTTTGTTAACAGTTCTCTCACCCACTTTTCCCCATTCCTCAAATCTTCCCACTCTGATCAATGGTCCACATGCCACGCATCCTTAATTGTGTAAACATAAAAAAAAAAATTGAAAAACTTATAAACATTTTTAAAGGTCTTGTAATACAAGAATTTTTGTGAAAATATTTTCCCACTCTCATTCATTTGGTTTCTTTCTTACGACTCTGCTAATGTGTAAGAACAGACAATTTCAAGTTAAAGGCTTTACCATATTCATTGCATGCAAAGTCTCTTCCTCTGAGTGAACTCTCTGGTGTGTAATGAGAGATGACCTCCGGGTAAAGGCTTTTTCGCACTTATTACATTCATAAGGCTTCTCCCCTGAGTGGATTCTTTCATGTCTAATGACAGATGCCCTCCGATTAAAGGCTTTTCCACACTCACTACATCTATAAGGTTTCTCCCCCGTGTGAATTATCTGATGTCTAATCAAATCTGAATTTCCCCAAAAGACTTTATCACATTCACTACATGTATAAGATTTCTGCCTTGTGTGAATTCTCTTATGATTAGTGAGAGATGACCTCCGGTTATAGGCTTTTGAACACTCACTACATTTATATGGTTTCTCCCCTGTGTGCGTTATCTGGTGTTTATTGAGCTCTGACTTATCCCAAAAGGCTTTTTGGCACTGACTACATGTGTAGGGTTTCTCCCCTGTGTGAATTCTCTGATGTGAAATGAGATTTGATCTCCGGTTAAAGGTTTTTGCACACACACTGCATGTGTAAGGTCTCTCCCCCGTATGAATTCTCTGATGTTTAATGAGATCTGAGTGCCATTTAAAAGTGTTTCCACATGCTCCACATTCATAAGGTATCTCCCCTGAGTGGATTCTCTGATGTGCAATGAGATGTGACCTCTGATTAAACGCTTTTCCACACTCACTACATACACAATAAGCTTTCTCCCCTGAGTGGATTCTCTGATGTGCAATGAGATCTGACATTTTCCCAAAAACATTACCACACTCCTCAGATGCATAAGGATTTTCCCTTGTGTGAATTCGCAGATGCCTAATGAGAGATGACTTATGATTAAAGCCTTTTCCACACTCTGTACATTCATAAGGATTCTCCCCTGTGTGAATTTTCTTATGTGTAGTGAGATGTGATTGCTGGTTAAACGCTTTTCCACATTCACTACATACATATGGTTTCTCCCCTGTGTGAATTCTCTGATGGTTAATAAGAGTGGATTTCCAGTTGAACGCTTTCCCACACTCTTTACATGCATAAGGTCTTTCCCCTGTGTGAATTCTCTGATGTCGAATGAATTCTGACCATTTCTGGAAAGGCTTTTTACAATAGCCACATATATGTGGACTTTTTGTTGTATTCACTGAAGGATCTGTCTGGTAAAAAAAACATTTCTCACTCTGGAAATGCTCAAGGTATTTTTCTCCAGAGTATGCTTGCTGATGCTTGCCAATGGAGGGATTTTTGGGGAAAGTTTTCTTTTCAACCTGAATTTCTTCTCCCACCATGGCACGTGGCTTATCACAGCTGTTTCTGTTGCAAAGCTTCTTACGTGTAAAGCACATCTTCTTCCTGCTAAAGGTTTTCCCTTTCCTGCTATGTTCAAAAGACTGCTGCACAGTGTGCCTCTTCACATGCTGCCTGAGATTGTTCCTGCATGGAAGTCTGCTCCCAGGTACATCAAACACATCCTGTTGTTTCTCAAACGGCATCTCATCAGGACTCCTAGAAAAAAGCAACTCTGAAATAAATGATATTCCTCAAATTTCTTTTCTGTACACGTTCCCATTCACACCATCAGTTTCAAATATGGCCAGAACTTCAATTAAGTATCTTTAACAACCTTTGTTAGAATTTTGTTTGTTAAAAACTTTAAAGCCTTTTGCGAGTGATAAATTGTACTCATGATCACAACTTGCCTGAAGCTTATTTCTTGACGTCCCTGATTATCACCAAGCAGCTCATCCTTTCTGTGGGAATCTGAAATGAGAAACTATATTCATCAGTCACATCTAAGTATTTCTTCTCAAACATGCATCTGAAGTCAATGTTGACTGCTCTGCTAATGGATCAGGCAGAGAGAGAAACAGAACCCTCTACTGTTTAACTTTGTGAGTGCTTGCAAAGCTCATCATTTCCTTTATTTGCTACTACATGCGAGCGAGATGCAGAGAAATAACAAAATGATCCATAATGACCAATCAATCATTCACTAGCTCTCAAATTGATGCAACTGCATGGACTGTATCTACCAAACAGAGGAATGTAATTCAAGCACCTCAAACAAAATAAGACAGTGCCTCTCTGCTGGCCATTAACAAGCCCTGAAATAATCAATCATTGAAAAAATAATCTGAAGGGAAAACATGTGTGAACGTAGGCTGAGGAACAAATGAGAAATTCCGGAATATATCTACCCTAGGAAATAACCATTGTAATCCGACAGTGTCTTAACAGTTTTCATAAATCTGAGAAAATATCCTCTAAGAGTACAAAAATCTGACACAATACTATCTAAGAGGAGAAAAACTGGAACATACAAACACACATGTACATAAATATAAACATGATTCTTGGAGACCGTAGAACGCCTGTGTCTGATGCATGGCATCAGCTGTCCTTACGGATGAAACTTAAAAAAAAGCGAAAAAAACCATTTAACTAGAATTCTATCACCATTTCCTGAGCCATGTATCAGCCTCCCTGCCCAGTATGTGCCGACTTACATGAAAGTGTACAGTGTCCACATTTTTCCACCGTCCATAGCATTTCTCCTTGCTCCAACTTGAAGATCAGAGTAGGCTTGGTCATTTCATACCCTGTGAATGGGAAATAATGCTAGATGCTTGTGGGGGACATACACACAGGAGAAAAGCTTGGTTCCGGGATCTGTGCCACAAAAGGACTAATACGAATGATTTACTGGAGCGTAGATACATTCTTTATAGACTCAACCATTAGAATTACCAGGCACTAAACTTTATAAACTGGTCCTTCTTTCGTCGACTAAGAAAGCAGTCTGCTTGGGCACGACAGATTTTCACTCACCCAAGGACAGCAGATTGCTATAGGTCTCAAGCATCACATCCCTGTACAGGGTCCGCTGAGCATTGTCCATGTGCTGCCATTCCTCCTGGGTGAAGTCCACAGCCACGTCTTCAAATGACACCAGCACCTGGAACAGCACATTTCCCTCAGCCCTGGCTCACTCACACACTGACACTGCATTCTCCTCCTCATGTTTAACTGGCACCTTCTATGCATGCAGTCTACATCGCAATCTACGTGACAATACAAGGTAAAAACAAAATGAAAAGATTTTGTCCTGAATTCAATTTGTAATTAAAAAGTACAACAGAATATTTCTCATCATTCTGTCACTGACTGCTTAATGATTCTGAAATGAGCTCACTGTGTAATTTACAGACGTAAATATAAACACATGACATAAAGATCATGGTAGATGAGATAAAGAAGACACATGATTAATCGTGGTCAGAATAAGATAACTTCTGAATAGTTTTTGGAGGGATTTAAAAAAATTTATTTTAAGGATTTTATTTTTATTACAAAGTCAGATTTACAGAAAAGGAAACACAGAGAGGAAATCTTCCATCTGCAGCTTCACTCCCCAAGTGAACAGCCAGAGTTGAATCATCTAAAGCCAGGAGCCTCTCCAGGTCCCCCACGCGGGTGCAGGGTCCCAAGGCTTTGAGCTGTTCTCCACCAATTTCCCAGGCAGAAGCAGGTGGCTGGAAGAGAAGTGGAGAAGCGGGGATCCCAGCAGTTACTTGCAAGGCAAAGATTTAGCAACTAGGCTACCATTCTAAGCCCTACATAATGTTTAAGACTGTACTAAAAAAAGTTAAAGATTTTTGATATATTTATAAAAATGCTCAAATATTTTTGATGTTAAAAAAGCCTATAAAGCAATATTACTAAACTTGGAAAAATTGAAATGTTAGAAATATTTTAAAATATATATTTTTAATTTTTAAAAAGATTTTATTTATTTATTGGAAAGTCAGATATACAGAGAGGAGGAGAGACAGGGAAGAATTTATATTGCCATGAAGATCTTAATTTTTCAATGCTGCCATCCACAGTGACTGAATTAATCTTCAATCCCTGAACATTGTGAAAAAGTGCAACTTTTCCAACATCATCATCAGCATTTGTTACCCTTTGTCTTCTAAACAGCCATTCTGACAGGCTTGAGGTGACAGCTCATGCAGATTTAGATTTACATATCCCTAATGGCTACTTAGGTTGAGCATTTATCTGTTTTGACAACCATCTACTGGGGTCCTTTGACCATTTTATCATTTGATTGGAGATTCTTATGTTGTTAAGGCCACATGGAGATTAAAAAACAAAATTGGCAATCTGAACACACTCTGTCATGCTATTTGCCAAATTTTTCAATGAGTGTAGAAAGTGAAGTCAAGGGCCCAGCATGGTAACCTAATGGCTAAAGTCCTTGCCTTGAATGCACCGGGGAGCGTTTCCCAGTTATGGGAGATCTTTTTCTCTGTCTCTCCTCTCCGTAAATCTGACTTTCCAACAAAAATAAATAATAATTTAAAAAAGTAAAAGGTCAAAATGGGTGAAAACTACAATGAGATTTCATTCTTGTCTAGAGGAAAATGCCTTTGGAAAGCACTCTAGTAATATGAGACAATAAATTCAAAGTACAATCACTGGGACCGGCGTGGTGGTATAGCAAGCTAACTCTCCACCTGAGACATCAGCATCCCATGCTCGTGGCAGTTTATGTCCTGCTTTCTTCACTGTGATACAGCCTCCTGCTGTGGCTTAGGAGCAGAGGATATCACAAAAGATCAAACCCTTGCCCCTGCACCATGTGGTAGATCTGGAAGAGGCTCAGGTTCTTGGCTTTGGATTGGCCCAAGGTCTTGCCATTGCATATCGGGTTCCCTCGTCCAGCGAGCAAGACTCCGACATGGTACACATTCTTTACAAGGTTTTATTATTCAAGAGGCAGCAAGCATATAGCAGAAGAACTGAGAATGCAAGCACAAAGCAAAGGGGAAGCAGCCACAGCATGCTGCTTGGTCTTCCAACGTGAGGAGACAACCTTCCTCTTGCCGCCCATTCTTTTACCTACATCATTAACCAATCCCCTTAAAGGTCACCATAGCATGCAGCAAGCACACCAATCATGGCTCTGATCACGTGCACATCATACAGCTTCCATGCACGCTCGACCCGATCCTCTGCGACTTCCCTAAACTTGTGTACCACCTCTGCGCCATGAGGAAGTGGTCTTGGGGCACGAATCCTCTCTCCACAATTGCACCCTTCTGTAGAGTGAATGTGGAAGCTCTCTCTCCTTTTCTCGGTAACTTTGCATTTCAAATCAAGGAACACATGATAGGGGAGAGCCCTGTGATTTAGCAGGTGGCCACTGCCATCCCGCATGGCACGGCTTCATCTCCTGAATGTTCCAATTCTGATCCAGGTCCCTGCTAAAGCGCCTGGAAAGGAAGTGGATCACGCAAGCACTCGTGTCTTTGCACACAAGTGGGACACACTAAACTCCTGGCTCATGCTTCAGACTGGCTCACCTCTGTCCGTTCTTGACTTTTGGGTAGTAAACCAGCTGATGGTGGATCTGTCCCTTTGTCTATCTCAATGGTTTTGCCTTTAAGACCAATACATAAATCTTCAGAAAGAACCTGCAAGGCATTGTTGCATAGCAGGTTAAGTTACTTCCTGCTCCATGTCCAGCGCAGCGATCTACCAACGTGTGCTGCAAAACAGTGGAAGATGGTCCAGGAATTTGGGCAGGAGATTTCCACGGGAGGCCCAGATGAACCTCTTCCTGTTTCTCTCTGACTTAATCCGTTCTGACCATCGTGACTAGCTGTTGGAGAACGGAACAGCCAACAGCAGATATGCCTGTCTCTCTTTCTGCAACTCAGCTTTTAAAACAAACAAACAATAGTTATCAAAAGATCATGCAGCTGATTCTAAATTCCACCCATTCCTGGAGCAGCTCATGAATGTAGTATAACCTCCAAATGCCATTAGGAACAAACTGCTATTTCAGTAATTACAAAAAAGAAAAACTGGGAATTTAATAACTAGTGTGCTTTTTCTTTTCTTCTTATACTCAGTAACTCTTACCACTGCAAAACGTTGATTGATTATTTCTAGGTTGGTACTAAAGTGCTTTCATGATCTCGTTTATAAGATCAATACATACAATTTCAGACTTGATATCCCACAAGAATGAATGAATTCTTAGCCTCAATTTGAATCATGGCATCAGAAAGCCTGGAGAGAGCTACAATCAGGTTTCACAGCCCTAATGCCTTAGTCATGACACTTTACAGTGCTTACCACAACTTGTTTCTCCTTTTTCAACTAAAAAAACCTTCAAAACTCCTAGCACGCAATGTAAAACAAGCTGAGAAGCAACTTACCGAAGCAGTGTTCATGTTCTCTGGCTTTGCAGACATTTTGTGGGCCGCCCCCCGGCTGCTGCCGAGCCCGGCGTCCTTCCGACGGCTCCCGCGGGGCAGCGAGCAACCAGGGCGGCCGCGGTGAGCCACCCGGGGCCTCTCCGGGACGCACGGCCGGCACCCGCCGACCCGCCGACCTGCCGACCCGCCGACAGACCGATCGACCTGCCGACCCGCCACCAACACACCACCGACACACCACCGACACACCGCACGCAGCGAGCCCGGGCGCGCCTGTGGCGTCAGAGCAGCCGCAGCCAATCAGCGCGCGCTGGGCTTGGGGGCGGTCCCTCGGGGTTCGGACGGGAGGGATGAGGGGCGGGGCTTCGCCTCAGGCCTGAAGCGACCGCGTCTCCTGCAGCTCGAGCCTTTGTCCTGCAGGAGGCGCTGTGGCCTCAGAGCGTTCCGGCGCGGCCGCCTCTCCCGCTCCTTCTCTGACGTCACAGGCGCGCCGGGGCTCGCTGCGTGCGGTGTGTTGGTGGCGGTCGGCGGGTGCCGGCCGTGTGTCCCGGAGAGGCCCCGGGTGGCTCACCGCGGCCGCTTCTCCCGTTCCTGCGTGAAGGCTTGGAGGCCACTAAGGTGTGATCACAAGTTACCGAATGTTCACTGGCTTCGGGGACCTCCTTGGTACTGACTTTTCTGTGTGTGAGTGTTACATCATTAGACTCTTTTTTTTTAACATTTATTTATTTATTGGAAAGTCAGATATACAGAGAGGAAGATCTTCCGTCCGATGATTCACTCCCCAAGTGAGCGCAACGGCCGATGCTGTGCCGATCCGAAGCCAGGATCCAGGAGCCACTTCCAGGTCTCCCACGCGGGTGAGGCCTCAGGCAAGGAGCTGGATGGGAAGCAGGGCCAGCAGGATTAGAACCTGCGCCCATATGGGATCCCAGCAGGTGCAAGGCGGGACTTTAGCCACTAGGCTACCTCGCTGGGCAGTAATGCTGAGCATACAGATTCACTGCAGTCTGAATTATAATAAGGAAATCCCTATTATCTGTTAACCTGCGAATAGTTTCCTTTTGCGATTAGAAGCTGTTTTATCATACAGCTTTTTAATACTTAATGTCAATCATTGTATTTGTCTTCCATATAAATTCTATACATGATTGATTTTTAAATGTTAGCCATCTTTGCATCTCTGAATATCCCATTTGTTTCTTGTTTTCTGGTTTTGTTGTTAGCCCACCAATCATATTTGCTTAAGATCTTTAGGGTTGAGGGGGGGCCCGGCGCAGTAAGCTAGCAGTAAAGTCCTCATCTTGAATGCAGCAGGATCACATATGGGTACCAGTTCATGTCTCAGTGAACCCACTTCCCACCCAGCTCCCTGCCTGTGGCCTGGGAAGGCAGTGGAGGACGGCCCAAAGCCTGGGGACCCTGCACCTACGTGGGAGACCTGGAGGAGGCTCCTGGCTCCTGGCTCTGGATCGGGACAGCACCAGCCATTGCGCTCATTTGGGGAGTGCATCCTCGGATGGAAGCTCTTCCTCTCTCTCTCCTCCTCTCTGTATATCTGACTTTGTAATGAAAATAAAAAATAAATCTATGAGGATCTTGACCCCATTTGTTTAAAACTTCCATGGGAACAGCTGAAATGGCACAGTCAGCAATGCTTGCAATGCTGGCATCACTTATGACTGTCAGTGTAAATCCTGACTGCTCTGCTTCCAGTGCAGCTCCCTGACAATGTGCCTAGGGAAGCAATAGTCAAGTGTTTGGGGCCTACGTTCATGTTGGAAAGGCCAGTGAAGTGCCTGGCTCAGCCTGGCCCAGCCTCAGCTGTCATTTGAGAAGTGCGCCAATGGATGGAAGGTTTTAACTCCCAAATAAATAAATGCAATGAGATAACTTACAGGTATTTGCTCAGGAAATGTAAGACACAGGATTTGTTAATACACAAATTACTTAAGAGCATCTGATATTTCTGACAAATACACACCACAGCACCGCTTCATAAAAAATGCAGATTTTACTCCTATACAACAAGACAGAGTTGAACTATATGTATTGGGAGGATTTAGCAGTAATTAAGCATACCCACAATTTTGTGAACAGGAGAACTCTGGGAGCAAGCAGTCATCCTACAATGCATTAGGAGAATGAACTCTCCTGATTCTGCTTTGCCCTTGTAGGTGTCACAGTAGAATCAACAACACAGAATTACTAAGAGTTATTAACAACAGAGCTATACAAATTACATCTCCTACTAGTACACCCTAAAGAGACACAGCTTCAGAAAACCTTCCACTAAACATTTCTATGCTATCTCAAGTTAGCTGCTTAGTAGCATGAGGCCAATATAAAATGCAAACTATAGATAGATTTTTTTCGACAGGAGCTTGTAAATATTTATGTAGATATCCGAATATCTTGGCCCGGCTCTGTAGTCTAGTGGCTAAAGTCCCTCTCCTGCATGTGCCGGGATTCAATATGATTGCCGATTCTAATCCTGGTGGCCCCCACTTCTCTGCTTGTGACCTGGTGGCCACACAAGTTCCATGCTTCTGGCCTGGGTGAGCAGTAGAGGATGGCCCAAAGCTTTGGGAACCCAAAGCTGTGGGAGACTCGGAAGAAGCTCCTGGCTCCTGATCAGCTCAGCTCTGGCTGTTGCGGCAACTTGGGGAGTGAATCAGTGGATGGAAGATCTTCCTCTCTGTCTCTGCTCTTTCTGTATACGCCTGACTTTCCAAGAAAAATAACAAATCTTTTTTTTTTTTCAGACAAAAAAGTTTTTTTGCGAAGGGACCAGGTGAGCAGGGAAGGAAGAGGAAAGCACCTCCAGAAAGGAAGCCAGGAGGTGGGGCGCCTCTCAAAAGAGAAGGGAGAGACACCCAGAAAAATAAACAAATCTTAAAAAAAAAAAGAAATCTGCACTACTTGAAAATAAAGTCAAATTGTTGGGTGTTCTGAAAATACTCTTGATTTGGCAGAGGGGTAAACAGGAAAATTAACAAGAAGCAGTTATGTACCAAGAGCCTATACCTTGGCTTGGTTCTGGTATCTAATGTATTCATTTAAAAACTTTTAAATAGGATCACATTTTCCTCTGAGTTTTTATTTTTAATGTTTATCTGAGCAACAGAGACAGCCACATCTCCCATGCACTGTCTCATTCCCTAAATGCCCACAGTAGCCAGAGAGATGAGGCCCAATCTCAGAATTCAGTTTTCTAGATGGGTGAAAGGGATCCAATTATTTGATCCATTATTTGCTACTTTCCCACATTCTTTACGTTTATAAGATTTTTCTCCAATTGGTACTGTTAGTGTATACATTAGCAGGAAATCACTGCTTAAACTCTCTGCCAAACACTTGTCCATCTTTATTTTGACTAGAAAATCTTATGGTTATTAGCTTATTGGTGAATTTTAACACAGAACCATAAGGGGAAGATATTCTAGAAAATGAAGGCTATGTCCAACTATGTCATCTTACCATCAATGTCTTTCCTTAATTCAAAGTCTATTATATAAATCTCAATAGAAGACAAAATATGAAAATCCATGATCTAAGGTAAACTATTAAAAATTCTGAAAACTATGTACACCCACCAGTTTATGCCAGCAATAGAAACAAAGATAGGGAAAAGGTTGTATGACCGAGAAACTGAGAAAGTAGTAATTCTTTTCACAATAAAGGAGAATTATTTTTATATTTAAAAGATTTATTTATGTATATTGGCAAGTCGGATATACAGAAAAAAGGAGAGACAGGAAGATTTTCTGTCTGCTGATTTAGTCCCCAAGTGACTACAACGGCCAGAGCTGAGCTAATTTGAAGCCAGGCGCCAGGAGCTTCTTCTGGGTCTCCCACTTGGGCAAAGGGTCCCCAGGCTTTGGGCCGTCCCCAACTGCCCTCCCAGGCCACAAGCAGGGAGCTGGGTGGGAAGTGGGGCCACTGGGACACGAAGTGGTGCCCATATGGTATCTTGGCGCATGCAAGGCAAGGACTTTAGCCGCTAGCTACTGTGCCCAGAATTTAAAACCATTCATTCAATGCCTCCCATATAAACTCCTTAGGGAAAGTTCAACAAGTTATCACTCATTTTTTTTTTTTGAGAGAATGAAAAGAATCATATAAAAATTAAGTCTAATTGTTTATTAGATTTACACTTCAATTCAGCAATGGCTTTAAGGTAAAGTCTTGATTTCAACAGAAAGCCTTTCTCCTTGAACTATACAACATCACATCAAAGTCTCTTAGCAAAAGTGGATGACAGTTGATAAAACATGGTACACTATAGGATTACCTTGCATCTAGCTCTTTGTTACATTTTCAGTTCTCTACATTGGGGAGTTCCCAACTTTGGAATTATTATTGAAATGGGAAACATTCTCATTGGTTTCTATCCAGTGTGAGTTGTCACATGTTTTTGCAAGGACCTGGACAAACGGAAAGTTTTCCCACACTGCTTACATACATAAAGCTTCTCCCTACTGTGGGTTCTTTCATGTCTCTGAGAGGAACTACGAAGACTGAAGGCTTTCCCACATTCTTTGCATTTATACGGTTTCTCTCCTGTGTGTACTCTCATGTGTCCCTGAAAGCTGGTGGGATAAATGAAGGTTTTTCCACACTCCTTACATTTGTAAGGTTTCTCTCCGGTGTGAGCTCTCTCATGTATCTTTACGTAACCGGAACAACTAAAGGCTTTCCCACACTGCTTGCATTCATAAGGCTTCTCTCCAGTGTGAGTTCGTTCATGCGTTCTCAAAGCGCTGAGATAGCCAAAAGCTTTCCCACATACCCTACATTTATATGGCCCTTCACCAGTGTGCGTGATCATGTGTCTTCGAAAATTTTCAACAGAAATGAAAGCTTTTGCACATTCCTTACATTCAAAGGGTTTTTCTCCAGTGTGATTTCTTTCATGAACTTGCAAATCCAGAGGGTAATTGAAGGTCTTTCCACATTTTTTACATTTGTAGGGTTTCTCTCCAGTGTGAGTCCTTTCATGTACTCGACAGTAGCTGAGTCGGCTGAAGGCTTTTCCACATAGTTTACATTTATAGGGCTTCTCTCCCGTGTGCACTCTCAGGTGTACTCGAAAGGCTGGCCGAGCACGAAAGGATTTCCCACATTCCTTACATTTATAAGGCTTCTCTCCGGTATGGGTTCTCTCATGAATCTGAACAGAAGTTGAACACCTGAAGGCTTTGCCACATTGTTTACATGC